TAATCATATATATATATATATAAATGTGAATAATTATCGTGTATGTAAAAATAATATTATATTATAATATAAATTATTTATTATAAATCTAAAATATAATTTATATATTTTAATTTTTATATATATAAATTTTAAATATAATATAATTTATATTTAAATACCATTTTAAATATGATATTTATTTATATTTATTCTTTATTTTAATTTAGTTATTATATATATATATATATATTTGTAAAATACTAATAAAAATAAATTGTTACATGACTCATTCATGGATAGTCTTTTAAAGTAATTTTCATTGACAATGATAGAACTATTTTAACAAGTTAAAAATAATTAAATAAACATTTTAAGTTTTTTTTTTATAACAATTTTCTCTTAAATCAAAATATTTAACCTTTAAATATTATTAGTTTATATTTTTAAAATTATCCAAGGCCCAAACACACCTACAACCTGAACTTAGAGCAGTTCGCAACTTAGCATTATCCAAAATATGCATCAATCTTAATATTTATTTATTAACCATCCTATATACACTCCATGCACGCAACGCAATCCCGTGATTAGGCACTAACGAGGAAGCAAGATCGTAACCGCACGGATCGCCAGCGTGTCAAAAAATCCAGCCGTCAGATGACGCACCCCACAATACCACAACGAAATCAGCCTCGAAGGGCACGGATCGCCAGCGTGGCAAGATCGAGACCGTACAATGCGCCCCTAGAGACAAACGGGATCTCCAGCATTTGTCATTTACGCGCAGTATTAATACCTCGTTTCTCTCACTACTCACAAACACCACCATTCCAAATTCAAAGAAAAAACGTAACTCCTCCGTCGTTCCCACTCCCTCCAAACGAACCGTTTCGCACCTTTCTCGGATCGCATCGCATCGCATCGCGCATCAATGGAAGCTCCCAAAGGCGCTGGTGGAAGACGCGGCGGTGATAGGAAGAAAGCCGTTTCCAAATCCATCAAAGCCGGTCTCCAATTCCCCGTCGGCCGCGTCGCACGCTACTTGAAGAAAGGCCGCTACGCCCTCCGCGTCGGCACCGGTGCTCCCATCTACCTCGCCGCCGTCCTCGAGTATCTCGCCGCTGAGGTATTCCTCCAACTAAACACACACAACACCGTCATTGTTCATTGTTTTTACTGAGTTAATGTCATTCTTACGGATTATCACAATGCAGGTGCTGGAGTTGGCCGGTAACGCCGCACGTGACAACAAGAAGAACAGGATCAACCCTAGGCACGTGTTGCTCGCGGTAAGAAATGACGACGAATTGGGGAAACTGCTTCAAGGTGTGACTATCGCTAGTGGCGGAGTGTTGCCGAATATTAACCCCGTTTTGTTGCCGAAGAAGGCCGCCAGCGCCGCTGCTGAAAAATCCTCCACCCCTAAGTCTCCTAAGAAATAGATGTTGCATGCATTTTGTAAAACCTTGCTGTTAGTTTTTTTTTTCGAATTTGTTTTTTTTTTTCTTCGAAAGGTTACATATATAGTTTTTAGGTTAGTTGGAGTATGATGCTGTAACCTAGCTCCTGGTCTTTCATGTATGCACAAATGTAATAGGTTGCGAATTCATATATGGAAGAAGCCTTTTTTATTTTTTATTTAATTACTTGACCCTTTCTATAACTTGTTGCGTTTTCAACCGCTAATTAACGCATCGGAGTTCTCGGCTATAGTTTACGTGTTCAACTTAAGATATCGAAATAAGAAAACGATGGAAGAATTATACGATAGACTGTTTCTGTTGTTGGGCCGTTGGCCTTTTGGGCCTAATAATTGTTCGGTATTTCGTTTAGTACTGTACTACAGTTTTTTTTATTATTTTTATTTTTATTTTTACGTTAACCTTCTCTCTCTCTCTCTCTCTCTCTCTCTCCGTTCCCTTTTTAATTAAGTATTAAGCCGATACTTGTGGTTTCATTTTAGGCTAATGGTATAATATAGACGCTGTCGCCTGTCATGAACTTTTTACCGGTATGTTTACTACACTTAATGCATTCTTTTGTTTATCCAAATGAAACTTGTTTGGAATCTCAAAATGGAGATGGTATGTTTGGCAGAGACGATTTGGGCGTTTCGGAGGTGCGGCATTCGCGGCTTTTGGTTCTGCTGTCTTTTGCTCGAGTTATAATGATCGATTTAGTGAGCGCATAAACTTTTATTATTTAGACGATATATTTCTAATGTGTGCATCAGTGTAATTTTTAGAGTTTGATTATTTACTTTTATCATTAGTTGTTTGTAAATCAACGTATTTAATGTGTCTTCTCTCCTGTTTTACACATTTCATTAATGATATTACTTCATTATAATTCATTTATTTAAATGTAGGTTTTAGGATTTTAAAGTGAATATGATTTTGTTGTTTTTTTAATCTAATCTACACGTAGTTTTATTTTTATTTGTTTCAGTTTATGATTAGGTTTTTTCCACTTCCTACTATTTTCCACTCTTGGAGCATGATAGATGTCAATGGCTAACTAGTAATGGAAGGATAGAAGATATAGGGGATTTGAGATAATGTGTTAAACTAGTTGAGTTTTACATGATTAAGTTCCTTATATTAAGAATGTATGATTGGGCTTTATGCTATGAACATAATCTTTCATGGAGTGCGATTTATTGGGCTTCACGATAATGCTGTCTCCCTGAACCATAAAACAAGCATCCACATTTGCTTTTGTGGGTTGCTTATTTCAAAATTGAAAAATTACCATTACATTTAATTAGATTGTGACGTAATATTGATTTTCTGCTAATGTGGCTGCACATTTAGGAGCTTCAGTTGCAGTGCGGATCCGGGAGCCATTACAGGATTCCCAGTGGCTGACATGTCCAGTGCTGCATGATTTGTGTCCTCAACATTTCCCTCTTTCAGACCAATCTGGTCTGTCTTTACTTTGTTTTGAACTTGGCTTATATACTTATATTATCTATGTCTATGTGTATATCTGTTACTTATAGATCTGAAAATGTGTAGGAATGCTTGCGCTGTATTCTTATAAAGTTAGTGCTGCTCCTTCTTCGTCTGACATATATAAGGAAGCTTCTGGGGCTGTTTCTGATGGGTCTAAGCCTCATGATTGTTTTGGCAAAGATACTATTGCAAATGCAGCTGCCAAAGTTGGGCCTGCTGTTGTTAACATTGCAGTTCCAGAAGGTATCTGCTTCGGTATCTGTTAACCCTGAAACTTATTTTCATGTCCCTTTGAGTTGATTCTGAGGATTAATCATCCACCACGCAGATTTATTTGGTATTACTAGGGGAAAGAG